TAAACCAACATGAGAAGAAAAGTCAGTCTAGAAGAAGAAAAAAAAACATAAAACAGGGCATAAAAATTTAAGCATGAAATATTTTCCCACATAATTCGGTCATAAATTCCTAATTTAATAACATATTAAGGAATGTATATAATGCTTAATAATGAAGTAATGAACACCAGAAGGAAGATAAAAAATACATACGGGAAATGATTATACAAGTTTAAGTCCTCACTGCGTATGCGAATCTCAGCCTTTTGCAACAGCTTACAAATATCAGCAACAGCAACTACAACAGGCACCTTATTACAAATAGGTAAACAGAAAATCTCAGTTAGCCATATATATGTTTCAATCATATACTTGGTATTAGCTAATTGATGGGATAATAGTAGTCGGCAGTAAAATACATTTTTCTGCATTGAGCTACAGTATAAGCTCAAAGCATCACCAGCCTTGTCAAATACATCAAGTATTTGTTGCGCATCCATAAGCATGTTTTTATACTCATCATCTTCCTCAAGGCCACTGTAATATTCAGAATATGGATATGAATTGATCTCACAAGCTAAGTATTGGCGTATTGTCAATCCTACAAAAAGAAAAGTAAAAAAAAGTCTCATCAAGTTTATTTATTAAGGCTATTTACAGAATGTGCAACAAGGTGATGCGATGAACAGAATACCTGTGTTAAACGGAGCCATGACCTGCTCCCGGGCAACTAGAAGCAGAACCGCAAATTGGTTCAAGCCTTCATACTTGACAAAGGTCCACGCAACCTCATTGATCGAATCCGTGTATTGAGCAAGCAACCGTGCACAGTCCAATATAGGTTTCTATATCAAATTTGGTAGACAGGAAATATAAGATTATAAGTAATGCAATTGTATCAAGAAAGTTGATACAAAAACCCTTGAAACCAAATTACAATCATATTGACTCATCAACCAAACTCGCGAAATACTGTTGGAGTCACTATTGACTCATCAAGCTCAATTCTTGATTTACAAGTGCTTAAGATGGATGGGAGAAGTCAATTCAAAATACTATAACAATAAACCACTAGAGTTGACTCATAAGAATAATAAAAAGACCGTTTTCCACTGGCATAGTAATATAACAAGTTTGATGAGGGACTCGCCTAGGGACCAAGTGTACAAATGCTCCAGGTAACTACAACCCGCTGGCCGTTTTTTGAGTAGCTTCACAAAACGACCCGCGCTGTCACTCACAAGCACCCTTTCCAGTTTTTCACTATACTTTTTTCCATCTCTTGTATATCTTTTATTGTAATTTTCTTTTTCAAACAACAGGGAAGAGTTGAACACCCTTTTATACTTGTTTAGAAACTAAAAGTTGCCCTACCAAAATACATAAATATATATAATAAATAAAAAAACCCCAGTTCCTTAAGCTAAATAGTACGTAGAATATAAAGGTGCATAATTGTATCGTAGCAGTAGAGTTACCCTTGCACTTTTATCTGTTTATTATGCTCGATCCAATCTTTTATTGTAATTTTAATTAGTTACAAAGGTTTGTTATAAAAGGATTCATCCTTTCGCTCTCAAATCATCTTTGTCTTGTTACTTATATTTATGGAGTTTTTTTTTGCTAAAATAAGCTTAAGAAGTGCATTTGTATGATCTACTCCCTCTCTTGTATATCTTTTAACATGAATTGGAGGAGTGGGTTTAATTTTTTTACCTTGCCTTCCCGTCCAAATGGCGAAGGCCGAGTGGCAAGTGTTCAATGAAAAGTTTGGATCTGTTGCAACTGATGATGATCTGGAAGGACTTGTGAAGCTATATCACGAGTATCCAGATGAAGTAGTGGAATTAGTGCCGGAATTGTATGCAATGTATCAAGTAGCCCCTAGTCAGCCACTTATTCACGCAGTTGCTATCAAGTGGTCGAACACTAGGCATCTTGTGCCTGGCTGTCATGACACCCTTGAACTTGTACTTGATGGTTTGAGGTAGCAATTTCCTGCTTCCAGTCTACTCATGGCTTCAGTTTTTTTGACCCTTTTTCTCTTCCTGTGGTAGGTCTGGATACTCTTGGCAACATCTTCACTCTTGGTCTGCAGGCGACTCTATCTTCAAACTGATTATATTACTTTGCCAGTGGGAAGTGGTAGGTTGTTTCTCTTCCTATCCATTGTGTGGTACTCCTTCCTCGTCTACTTTTCATTGCCTTGTTGCATATTGATTAAGCAGAGTCAAAAGTTAAGAGCAAACAAATGGCAATTGTGAGCATTTGTTTTGCTGTATATTGGCTTGCAATTTCATATGATATTGTTTTGTTCGTGTCTTCTGATGTAGAAACACCGTCTTGATGCTGCTCGACGGTTTGCTTGCAACACTCATTCGGTCAACGACATTGCTTGGACCTTTCTTCAGACTGGAAAATTGATGCAACTGGCAGCGTTGCTTTTGGTTTCTCAAAAGGAGGTTATGGTTCCATTTGAAACAGGTAACTTGAGGTTTTTTGATACTCATCTTAAAGATTCAAAAATATACATTGGAATATTTCTCAAAATCTCTCTAGAGCTTCTTGTAGATCCAATAAGCATTATGAACACTAGTTTATAGCTGTTTCTCGATCGGTTGGATCAAAACCAAAAAGACAAGTCAAAGCTTACTTCGTGTGTTTATCTCACACCCCTTAAAGGTGTGGGCGTCAATGTATAAGTACAAGCCTTCTTCGTGCTCCACATGGGAAACAAGATAACATAAGAGTCTACTCAAGACACTCAAACTGGATCCCAAATCAAAGAGCAATGCATCACCTTGAGTGTTAGGAACTTGCCTAAAACAAACTCTATTAAACTACTACAACAACAGCCTTATTCAGTTATTCTAAAGAGATGGGGTCAGCTGCATGAACTGAGTGAACTATCAAAAAAAAAAAAAAAAATACAAAATATAACCCACCTCATAAGGGTATATTGCTTTGACATTATTAGCCAAAGAAAGAAATCTAAAGATAAGTGCAGTAGTGCACATGCCATCTCAAGTAGGCTGTTGACTTACAATAATCTTTCTTGTGTAAATTAGGGATGACAATACGACAACGCCTTGAAATTTTCATTGATACATTAAGTTCCGAGGCTGATCAAGACTATCAACGGGTTCTGTACAAGTCTATGCTTAAGGATCTGCGAGCTTGTTACAGGTTTGGTGTCTTTGTAACTGTGCTCCTTTCTTTTAGGTTATGATATGTTTTCTCCATGTCTGGGTTCTTTTTTGTAATGTGAGCATTCTGCTTTGTTCTTCAAGTGTGAATTTATTGTTCTCTTCAACTTATTATAAAAACTTGTTGCTTATTCCTGTCGAAAAATTACATATTTGAAAAGTACATATTGAGACGATGATCCCAATTAATAATGTATTTTCTTATACATTAATCTAAAAAGAAGGTCAGAATTAAGTCAAACAAGTAGAGACTTTTCATTGTCCATCTTAATCCAAATACAAGTAGGACCAAATGTGCTGCTTTTCTCTACCTTGTTCGATTTGTTCAAATGCATGGCCTGCAATGTCTGACTTAGATACATATCCCAAATAATAGGTGTTTGGCATATCTACTTTCTGATTGTTTGAATGGTTCTTATATGCAAGCTATGGTTTGTCAGATCCACCATTAAAAAACTTCCTAGCGTATGTTACTTTTGGCGTGCAGCACATGAGAGATTTCGTTTCCCTCGATCTCAAAAGCCACTCAGGGTCCCCTGTATCCATCGCTTCATTACATGTATGAACCTAGAGCATGATAACACATAGGATTAGGTTGTTTGATGTGATGAGCCAGATGGCTGAAGGTTTTTGCGCTCAACTGTCATTAGCAACTGTTTCTGAACAATAAATTTTGAGGTTTTAGCTTACCGTTGATGTTTTAGTTGTGAGGGTCACTGACTTTTCTTGATTTATCAAATGAGCCTTTTGAAATTGTTCTAAACCAACAATTATGGACCTTTTTAACAAGATTATGGAGGGCTTGTTTGCATCATATGCAGAACTGTATCATGTTTGATCAAACAATGGATTGCACAAAATGCTATGGAGTACTATTTATGATCTAGTTTTTGGAAAAAGTTGTCTATAATCTAGTTTTTGAAGATAAAAAAAATTGTCAGTAGTATATGATTTTAGTTTTGACAGGGATTTGCTCTCAAAAATTACCTTGTTTTCTTTTGCCTGGTCATAATGAATAGCTCATGTGTTTTCAGCGCCATTGGGATCCTATTCTTGCTAGGATAAAATCAGGAGAAGGGCTAAGACTTGCTTCTGTCCCTCTGCCGCGTTTGTTTAGCACAACAGCTTGTCAGATTGATCAAACTTGTGCTGGTTCAAGCTATCCACTGAAGCGTTTGGCTCATGTTGTCATGAAACTCAAGAAAGGAATTTGATTTATGTGATTAGTCCTCAACTCATTATCTACTTTAAAGCCATGAGGACCCTGTCTTTTTAAGTTATTCATCTTATTTAAAACTATGTGGTCTTGAATTACAAACGTTGTCCAACCATCCTTCTGACAAGAGAAGAAAAACAAGGATACGTAGGCCTTGGACATTATCCTTAATCGTCAATGTTCAATGGAAAGCTTGGGTACATGCGACTCATGGGTAGATTAAGGAAGAAATGGAGCATCAAAGGGGAACTCTCTCTCACCGATATTGGATGCAAATACTTTATTGCTCGATTCATGAATTTTACAAACTATCAATTTGTGCTCATTCAGGTGCCGTGGATTATTGATGATAATTATCTAACTATAAGAAAGTGGGTTCCAAATTTGTTCCTGATGAACCTCTCAGTGGAGTACTATGACCTTGATATATCTTGTGTCTTGAATAAAATGGCTCGAAGATAGCCAAAGTCTCACACGCGGACAAGACTATGGCTTAATAAGGTAAACGAGCCACTGTTTTACGTAACACCCTACATACATGTGTTAATCAACTATGCAGCAATAAGGGCGTGAACAATTGAAATATAACTACACTAAGCTTGATAATAAAGAATACTGGATGAGATATATAATTACTTGATAATACGTACATTGCTTACCGTTTCTGTCATTGATGCACGTTCTATAAAATTTTATACTATTTTGGACATTCATTCTCCTCAAACACAGAGGATTATTAAACTCAAAATCACAACATACACCTTGCAAACATAAGAAATCTAGTAAATTTTTAAACGTTATTAAAAAAATCTTTTATCCGAATGTATGCATATATCATGCACTGAGAGATCGATAAAATTATTTAACATTAGGTGTTCGTCCTTGATTACTCTCTGAAGTAGCCATGAAATGAGTAAACCACATGGAAGATGCCTTACGATAACGTCTATGCCTATCAAGATAGTCGACATAGTTTAGGCCATAGCGAGTTTGATATCCTCCGGCATCAATTTCCATATTATCTGCCAATGACCATACAAAGTATCCCCTCACATTTGTAGCCTCTAACTTCCCATCCTTATTTCTTATGTCCCTGCATTCACGTCAATCCAATTTTGTGTTATCAATCGCAAAATGCAAAACCAATAATGAAAGGAGCGAGGAAAATATGTGAGTGTAGTATCATACGCTAAAGCTTCACGAAGATTGAAAAGATGGTCACTAATATCTTTGATTCGATACCCATCAAGCAGTGCATCTTTGATTTCATCTAGCGATGCATCTTTGGATTCGTCGTTGTCTATTACATTTTTTGCTAAATCCTTAATGGATCCTGTGATTGCGGGCGTTGCAGGAACACCTGAATTGAATTACATAACTTATTAATTAGATCATGAATATGTATGGCAATAAAGTATCAATGTATAATTGATAACATAAAGATAATGGCTTACTAATTGGTGTAAAATGTACGTAAATGTATCTGATATGGGGTATAGTAGTCTTAAAGATTTTAATTTTGCAATTAATACGTATGATAAGGAAAATTGATAAATTATATGTACAACTCTATGCTTAAAAATGGACAAAAGATTTAGAATTTTAAAATACCGATAACAAAAACTATTTGACACGAAATATTGTCATTAATTCACACATGAAGAAAAAGATTACTGTAATTAAATTTTCAAATAGGATCACCAGTTGATCAAGTTTTATGCCAAATCATAAGTTATGTCCGTAAATGAGACTTATCAATTTTTATTTTATTTTTTTTTATTTTATTTTTGTTTTATATATTCTTACATAATACAAAGTAGTAATTAATAACTCACCATTTTCAGTAACATATACTTCAGGGTTGTTGTATGTGTGCTTAACATAAAGCAACAAGTCTCTCAATCCTGTAGGAACCACATAGATATCGGAACTTTGTGGAGCTGGACTTCCAATATACTTTCCTTCCTTATTTTGCACTGGAGAATTGAATGAGTGAAATGATGCCAAAATATTAAACAGTTATAAGTTCGTTGATATTGAAATAGAAAGAATCTCACCTTCTTGCTCTATGAACTCTATACGACATTGTCCGTAAGTGGTGTCAATAGTTGATATGTGAGAGGGTGTGACATATCTTGAAGTATAGTAATTGAGGCCTATGAAATCATATGAGCCTTGCACCATTGCCTTTTCCAAAGGGGTAAACTTGGGAAGCCCCCCGATTACAAGTTCTTGCATTATTTCGGGGTATTCACCATTGACTAGCGGATCCATGTACCTACAAATTAGAAACAAATAAAAATATAGTCAAATTCACACGCTGCGCTATAAAAAAAAAAAGGAGAGATTACATGATATAAGCAGTGCGTACGATTTGTGCTATCTACTTACCAACCCAACATCATGTCTAATGATGCCTTTTGAGCCTTTATATGGAGTCCGTTTTTCTTATCATAAGGCTCAAACCATAACGATGATAATGAAATGCCAATCTTTCCACCTTGAGCTTCCTAAAAAGAAAAGAAAAAAAGGACAAAAATGATTCGAATCTCTGATCACTGCTCCAAACCCTTTCCTCAAGGTTCATGATTGATTGTTAGCATAGGATCGATACATTTATTTGTTGTGTATGATTCGAAAAAATGTGTTTGATCGATCACCTGATATTTCTCTCGATAATGTTGGACAGCAGCAGCATGAGATAGGATGATGTTGTGGGTAGCAACATATGGACTAGGATCAATTTGATTGTCTGCTGGCAACCCTGATTGGTATCCGAATGAACCAAAATTATAAGGTTCATTTATAGTTATCCAATTTTTAACTCGATCACCAAAGTTCTTGAAGCATACATCCGCGTAGTATTTGAAGTCCTCTCTACATTCAACCAAAAAAACCGATCATATAACCTCAATGATGCATGTGTATGTGAAGCTACAACTCAAACCTCACTTACAATACTCCCTCTTACTTCAATTCTTAGTATTATATTGACAACATTGTGTGTGTATCAGTTTATATATAAGGGACTAAGGGAGTACTTATATATACCCCAAATTTGGTTAATTGACTAAGGTCAGTAAAAATAAGTCAAATATTTTTAAACCAGGAAATGTATATAATGATTATAATCTATGAAAAAGATAATAAGGAATAATCAAGTCAAGGTCAATCCTTGATTTGATCACTGATGATAATACTCTCCTTGATTCTAGTAATTTACATGTAAATAATATTCTCAATTATCTTCCCTTAATTCTCTCCTTAATGTTAGGCTGTATATCTTCTATTGCTTTTATTGTAACCGTATTTTTTAGGGTTGTAATTGTATATAAGTTTGGTTTGTCTATAATGAAAATACAACAATTCTTCTCCAATCCTCTATATGGTATCACACTTTTTAAGATATAAACTGTATCGATGAAATAATAAAAAGAAAAGAGAAAAAAAAAAAAAAAAACTTACATGACATCTGTACTCAAAAAACCGCTATACTTGTTTTGTACACTCTGGGGAAGGTCGAAGTGGAACATCGTTACAAAAGGGGTGATTCCTTGTAGATGATAATTCAAGTGCATATAGTAGATCGATCGAGAAATTTTGATTAGATATATATAATAACTCAAATTGAAGTTAAGTTAATCGATTTTGATTACCATAAAGCAAGAGCAAATCAGTAAATTACCGTTATCAATAAGTTCATCGATCAAATTATTGTAAAATTCAATGCCATGTTGATTCACGTAACTATTGTCGACACCCGCATCTGAGTGATTACACATGGAAAAGATGAAAGAGAAACGAATTATATTTATTCTTTAATTTTTCAAATCTTTTTAATAAATAGATTTATTTTAACATATATAATGGTGGAGTACTTTATTGTAAACATATATATATTTCTTTCAAAATAAAATTAAAAAAAAAAAAAAAAATTACTCCGTAGTAGCTGCCTTAAATTAATTTAGCATGCAAAAATATGAAATATGGATATTATCGCGATGACTTACAAGGCAATACTCTGGACCATGAAATGGAAAACCTATAAGCAGTCATGCCCATGTCCTTCAACAGCTTCACGTCATCCTGTCAATAGAAAAAATTAAGTTGAATAAATAAGATGATCTAAAATTCCATTATGAAGCATCAATACGAGGTGCATATTTGTTGTAACACCACTAATACTAGCTAACGACCAATTTAATAATTAAAGTGATCAATGATACGAAGGAAGATCGAATGATCAAATTAACATACTACTCTGTAGTACATATTTGTTGTAGCACCACTAATTTAATACTAGCTAATTTAACGACCAATTATTCAATCTTGAAGTAGTAGTTATTCAATTTCGAAGTTGTAAACATATTAATTTAGATCGATCCATCATATCAGACTAGATCAAGTAGTAAATTTGTGTACCTTATAGAGGCTGTATGAATCAATAGCCATTTGATTCCCGCCACTTGAAATCATGGAATCCCAGGTGCTTGGTGCTCGCCCACCTTCTTTTCCATTTCCTTCCGTCTGTATTTGTCACAATTTGTTAATATTTTCATAACTTTTTATTAATATATTAAATTATTTATTATAATATCCTACTCATCATAACCTGCATATATATACTTCGTATGAAATCTGACTATTAATTTTTGATTAAAATGTATTGCTTATAAGTTACATTAAATATACTACGTATATGTATTAGATACTAATATAATAGCAACTCAGAGAGAAACCTGAAAGGCAGAAGTAGAGGCACCAAAAATGAAACCAGGAGGAAAATCAGATCTTGTAACATGAGTTGGTATAGAGATGGTGGCAGGCTCAAGGCCGGGAGCCAACACCACCGACATAGTGCTACCGTCCACAGATGGTGGTTGTGGCACCATTTCTGGCACCTGTTGTGATGGCGTCGCCACCATATTATCAGTAGATGGTGTGGTTAATGAGGCGGTTGATGATACCCTTCCATTCTTAAGAGCATTATTGCAAAAGGAGCTGGAGGGCTTCTTTCTTAGGAAGATTGAGCTCTTTGTAAGCCCTTGAAAATCATGGGTGTGCATAGAGAGTTGTTTACACTCTAGATGCACTGCCATTCCACAAGAAAGTGCCATTATTGCTAATCAATTAAGCAAATATTGTATAAATATAACTAGATGAGAATTAGAGGTTTATTATTTTTGATGGCATAAAACTCTTCCTTGTTGTAATTCTTATTTATAGTAGTGTTAGTTGTAAGGGACTAAGGGAATCTACATACATAAATGACCCAAATTATATGAGTTTGTTGGGGCAGTTAATTAATCACTCATTATAAAATTCGATCATCTCATTCTATTTTTCAAATGCAATTAAATACTCGTACTACAATAATACATTTGAATAAGTTATGCACCATGATGTGGTGGATCATGAGCGTGAAGTTCGCTTCCTTCTCACTTTGATTTAGAAATTAGAACTGATCATGCCTCGTGATACTCGTGCACTAGTGCCTGGATCGGAATAGATATGATTAGCTTGCTAAACGAATAATTAAAATGGGAATCTTCGATTCATCAAATTATATTATATTGTTAATTATGCACTGCTCAATACGGAGTACTGCTAAACTGTGTCGAGCGATCGAGAGGAAAGGCAAAATGCGAAGCAAAGTAAAATAACGATTCAAATAGTGTTTGAAAATGAAATCAGCCTAATAATGTGATCAAAAAATTGGTTTCATCTTTCATGTCTTTACATTGCCATAGAGGAGATGTAATGCACATACATGTAAAAATAGTAATGCTGATGAAAATACATAGAAATCTACCAAGAAGGAAAAGTTTTACAATAAAATTTAAACGATAACGGTGGAGGGCGGTGTTAATGACATCTCTAGAGTCTACTTGGGTAGTTTAAATCATCCATTTTGCCTTTAAACCGTCGATTTAGTTGTTTACATCTTATGCCTCCCTTCATTAATTAACTCACCGCGGCCAGCCACTTGGGAGTAATGAGACTTTATATGACTGATTAGTGGTTATATGTGGTTCCATATGACGTTATATGAACCTGAGTTGCATCCTCTAAAATCTCGAGAATCTTCGATGCGAGTTTTGAAGCCTTCAAAATTGGTCCGATTCCATTTATATATAGCCTTCAAATTTAACTTTCAAGCAAATATTTTGGATCTAGCAAGTTTATGCATCAAGATACTTCTTTGGGTTCCTAAATGACCTTGGGAGGCCTACTTGGTGCTCAGTGGAGAACTTGGGCTTAGACCTGGTGGGTCAAGTGACTCACCAGGCCCAAATTTAAGTTATTAAAAAAAAAAAAAAAAAAAAAAAAAAAACAAACTAAAATCAGTTTTCCCAAATGACCAAATCACGAATTGATTTCAAGCCCTAGCCTTCTTCAGTTCTTCTCTTCGCCAATTCGCCTCTTCCCTTTAATCCTTCATCAATCATCTCCAACTCCAATTCGCCTCTTCGCTAGTTCGCTTCGTCTTCCTCTTCGCATATTTTCAGGTTAGTAGATGCATCTTTCGGCTTTTTTTATTTATTTATTTATTTAATTGTTGATATTACTTGTTAGTTATGAATTAGTAATACTAAATTTGAACCCTAAATCCCTAATTGTTCAATAATCAACTCAATTTCAGAGAATTTTGCATTATATGAAATTCTGAATTGTGAATTTGTGAAATGTTTGACACTTTGACAGTGCTCTTCGCGACTTCGCTAGCTTGCTCACGCCTCCACTGCTGGCCTGCTGGCTGCAGCTCGCCTGCTGCCCTGCTCACTGCTCCATTGCTTTGTGCTCTGTCCTCTGTGCTCACCGCTCTTCGCTTCATCGCTTCTTCTAAAGTCTAATCTCCTATTTTCATTTTGCTAGTAAGTTGATTTCTAATTTTTAGTTTAAAATTCTAATCTTCAATTTAATTCAGTCTAATTAGTTAATTCTATTAAACTTTGGTTGATTTTGTTGTTGTTTGTTTGGTAATCTTTGAACCTTTTGTTAATGTTGTTAGGTTTTTGTCTTTTTGATGAAATTTGAACCTTTTAGACCATGTGATTATGTGAGTTGTGGTTTGTTTGGTAAAATGATCTTTGTAAATAATTTTTATGGGGAATTTTGCTTGATTTAGTTGATTATTTATTCAAATTTCAGAATGAAGAGAAAACGCACTCCAAATGAAATGCAAAACATTACTAGCTTCTTTGCTAAAAAGAATTCTACTTCAACTTCTCTTCCACATCCAACACAAAATGAACAAACTATATCTCCACCTCAACAAAGTGAACAAACTATATCTCCACCTCAAGAAAGTGAACAACATTCATCTCCATCTAATTATTCAACTCAAAATTCCCCTCAAAATGAACAAGGCTGATGGGCGTGCGAACGGTCGTACATTCCACACTCAATCAAACACATTTATTAACAAACACCTTACAAACCAAGCATAATGACAAGTAAGAGTTCGGTCCACAAGGAACAGGATATGATTGCCAAAGATCTTTACACTTAAGCTAGCTCGAAGTCAATTGGTGAATAGGGGTTCGTCAAGAAGACAAACAAACTATGGTGCTAAATCAATGAATTAAAGATACTAGGGAATGAGATCCGCTCAACCAAGGCAAATAGGCAAACGGGGAGTAAAATAGACAAGATATAGCAAGGACTATATGTAAAATCAACCTCATGCAATTAGAAAACAACTCACACTACTAAACTTAGATTCCTCATTAGTATAGAAATAGATGATACATAATCAAATTACAATAAGTAATGACGTACTCAATTTACACTTCCATGTCAAATTAGGCATATCATACTATCAAGCTCCTTAGTCAAGGGTAGCTAAACCTATCATGAGGAACTAACAAGAAATCTCATATAATCAATTTAATTGCAATACAAACATCAATGCTTCTCCCACATTTGCATAGTTAACCCAAAAAGGTCGAGCTTCACCCAACCCCTAGCAAGAAAACTACTCACAACTCATGTTTATCAACATGCAATCAAGAATTAGGGTTCTAAATACTTCAATAATTGGGGAAAAGTGGTTAACAATTGAAATAACTATCATCCAATAACAAATTACCAAGAACTAAGAAGATTTAAATAACATGCAAATACCAAATGAAATCTGAAATTAAAAGGAAGAAGGTTGGAGAAATTACTAATTGAAGCTTCAAATGTTGAATACAAATTGCCCAACTTTGAGAATAATTCTTGAATTTCACTAATACAATGATTTGATTTGATGAAAACTAAGCTAAATTAATCCTAAGGAATGTTTCAAACTAAGGGAGGTTTCTGAAAACTAGGCTATTGTCCTGCTTCTCCCGTCTTCTTTTTAAACGACCTCAAAAGGACCTTAAATAGTCCGTACAAAATCGGCTGAGCTCGGGAAAAGGTCCGACCGAACTATGGGTAAGTTCGGTCGGACACAGGGTAGGTTCGGTCGAACCATGTGTAGGTTCGGTCGAACCTCCCTGATCCTTGTTTGGTCGAACTTTTGAGGTTCGACCTCTCCTGCAAAATTGCTGAAAACAGGTTTGACACTGCCTTCACTGCACCCTGGAGGTTCGGTCGAATTTTTGAAAAGTTTGACCACACCAAGGTTCGACCGGACCTTTCAGAGGTTCGGCCACACCTCCTCTTGCACTTCCTTTTCTTGCTTCCTCTCCTTCCCTTTTGCCCCTCTTTCCTTTATCCATGGCTTCCATGCTTGGCCAAGGGGCCTCCCACCGTGCATAGGACTGTCACGGAACCTGCAGAAGATACCAAAGTTCACGAGAGCATGGGGATGATAAAATAATGCATAAAGATTATCAAAATAAGCATTACTTTTCATCAACACAAAAAGAAGCCATAAGAGGATAATGAGGTGGAAAAACCTAAGAAAAATAAGAGGAAAAAGACCTAAATACTACCCCTAAGAGTGACATAAATGTCACTCATCAAACTCCCCCACGCTAAGCTTTTGCTCGCCCTCGAGCAAAGCAAAGGAAAAAGAACAAGGGAGAAAGAATTAGTTATTCAAACATGCAAGGAACAAAAGAAAAACCGAAATTGCTTTTAGCAAAAGCAACAAGCCATTTAAACCCCAAGGTCGCCGATGAGGACGAGTTGTGATCTCGTGAGGGTTTCCAGAGAGCATACCCCACAACTCTTACAAAATTGCGTTCAAGACAAACCAAAAACAAGGGAAAAAGAAACAACAAATCCAACACAAATCATAGCCAAATCGAGCTTTTGGAGATAACAAACATGAATGAGTGTCAAACTTTCTGAGTAGTAGAAGTGAGCATGCAAGGGGATGCCGAAAGTTGATTGAAGGATAAGCTGTGCTAAGCATAGAGAACTCAAACATGCACCACTCCCCCCGCATTCCATACAATCTTACCGCGTTCCCTCATCTAGATTCAAATCCGCCCTTGGAGATAGCATCAAGTGACTCCTTGAAGGAGCCGGAACAAAGATAAAACACTGCAAAATAGGGGAACCCGACATCTCACCAAGTCATGCCTTCTCCATATGCTTGAGTTCCAGCTCCCTCCACCGATAAGTGACTCAACCAACCTAGGTCAACAGGGCATTGAAAGGGTTATAACGATGGCTTGGGGGGGGGGGGTAAGGGTGTGGAGGAATTTGGAAATTGGTGCTTAGCCTAACCGTGAAGCAAAGGGTGATCAAGCCTCTTTTTCAAAATCAATCATCAACCAATTTTCAAACTACGTTGCCACAATCTTGAACTATAATGCCAAACACTTTTGAGCTTTTGCTTTCCTCTTACATCTTCATTCATCAACCCTTCGTTTGTCACATTCTTTTTTTTTTTTTTTTTTTTTTTTTTTTTTTTTTTTTAGCTTCAAAGGCTTTTTCTAGGATTTACATTTGCTTTTCTTGAACATATATTCACAAAAACACTGCTTCACTTTCCAAGTAGAACCATTCCCTTCCAAATTTCAAATCAAAACTACAATAAACCCTCATGGCTTGAGCTTCACGATTCTAAGGGTGAAAGTAAAACAAAAGGGCCATGGGCTTGCAATGTGCTATAATCAAGGAGGGGAAGATTCAACATGGTAAGGGCAAATGCAACCCAAAAATACAAAAGAAAAAAAAAACTAATACTAGAAAACAAAAATAGTCACCGAATGAAGAATGCCTTTGTCATTCGTAGGTTAGTTCGGTCTCGATCTCGGGAGCCAGACGCCAAGTTCTAGATCTAAGCATGCCTTGGTGAGGAT